CCCCTTTGCTTTTTCACTGCCTCTTTCTGTCTGTCCTCTTCTTTACATTCAAATTAGCGTTAATACTAAGGATCTGTCAGTCTTTGGGGTCTTGTAGCGTCTCAGGGTATGGGGCTAGTTTGTAGTTTCTCTGTAGTGTAGTGCAAGTTGTTAGTTCGGGTTTTTTGTTTCCTTTTTTCCACGCATCACCTGTTTTCTCTTCTTATCCCTGCACCTCTCCCTCATTACCCTTTTTCCCATTCCCTTCTCACCTTTCCCCATTCCCTTCCACTCTCCGCTGTCTCCTATTGCCTCTCTACCTTTCCCATCCCTATTCCTCGTCCCTTTTCACCATTCCCTGTCCCTTTTCACCATTCCCTGTCCCTTTTCACCATTCCCTGTCCCCTTTCACCATTCCCTGTCCCCTTTCACCATTCCCTGTCCCCTTTCACCATTCTCTCCATTTTACCATTCCCTTTCCCCCTTTCTCATTCCCCTCTCTCCCTTTCCTATTCCCCTCTCTCTTCCTTACCCATTTCCCACTCTTACTCTTCCCCATTCCCCTCTCTCACCTTTTCTCTCCTGATTCGCCTCTCTCCCCATGCCACTTTTCCTTCCCCATTCTCCTCCCTCACCTTGCCTCTATCTCTCCATTCCCCATTCCCCTCTTCTGTCTCTCTCTCCCTCATAACCCTGCCTCTCTCCCTTCCCTGCCTCTCTCCCTTCCCTATTCCCCTCTCTCCCTCTGTCTCTCTTCCCTACCTATTCCCCTCTCCCCCCCCTTTCCCATTCTCCCTCTCCCCCGGTTCCTTCTCTGTCTCCCCTTTCCTTCCTCCCTCCTCTTTGTGCTCTGTCTCTTACCCTCTCTGTGTAATCTTTCCTCTTTTTTTCCCTCTTCTTCATTCCATTGCCCTTTAATATGAATAACACATTTCTTTTTGAACATGATGCATAGGTGTCTCCATTCCTAGATATGTCTGCTTCCAATTACCCCCTCTGATCCTGCCATCCCCTCCTGCTGACCTTTTCCTTACGTTTGCTTTGGCAAAGCTCATAGACTGCAACATAAGACGCCTTTCACAGAGGTTGGAGTTATAACTTTCAGCTTGATGTTTTCTTACTTCTGGGCTTCAACTTTTGGTCATTCACAATCTTTTGGGTCTGGGGAGAAGCGGCACAGTTCACATCCATCATGGGTGGCAGGGCGGCCATTTTGTTCCATAGCTGCCTCTTCTATATAACATGAAGTATAATGGAAATCTGGGAAGGGTTAAAGTCTGTTGCTGCTTACAGATGCTATAGGAGCAGCACTTATGTCATCCCCTAATCTGGTCCAGATCACACAGCTGCTGAACAGCTGCAGATAATCCCGTCACTTATTGCTGAAGAGGCTGTTGTATAGGTGAGCGCTCTTCCAGCTGGAGGCCGTCTCGGAAGATGGTACCTCGGAGTTGTACAGTTTTGTGTTGCTAAGTAATAACAAAACATCCTTTGCGTAGTTAAAACATTTGTGAAGCGATGTTCCTGTTAACATTTGGGAGAGAATGAGGCTGAACAGGCCCCATAATTTCACAATATTAACAATAATATCGTAGCGGTCAGAGATGGAAACCAAATGCTACTGGAGGGAGGGCGGCCATGTCACTCCCACAGATGCGAACAGAGGAAAGCTATGTGAAGCTATTTACTAAATGCTGCCAATGTTAGGCTTGGCATCACCGTGTGGTGAAGATTCTGGTAAACCTTTGCAGCTTGTGTATAAAATCCTTACCATAAATATTGATCATGATGGGAACTAGGAAGGCTGATTGGCATCACGAGAGCATGTGGGAAAAGTCTTACCTGCCTTGTGGGAATAGTCATACCTGCCATGTGGGAATAGTCATACCTGCCATGTGGGAACAGTCTTACCTGCCGTGTGGGAATAGTCTTACCTGCCGTGTGGGAATAGTCTTACCTGCCATGTGGGAATAGTCTTACCTGCCATGTGGGAATAGTCA